GTGTGTGTGTGTGTGTGTGTGTGTGTGTGTGTGTGTGTGAGAGAGCGAGAGAGAGAGAGTGTGTGTGTGTGTGTTCTCGGTCTCTCGGTGCTCGGTTACCTGGTGGTCTCGTACGGCGCGTATCTCTCGGGAAGCACGTGCAGGCAGCGCTGGAAGAACCGCACGTGCCGCTCGCGAAGAAAATCTAGCTGCTCGTGATCAAAATCCGCCATCATCTCACACAGGAGAAACACGGTCAGCGCGCCGCTTCCGCTTCCGCTGCAGGAGCACGCGGCAAAATAAGAGTCCCGCTGCCGCAGTGCTGCTGCTCTGATTCTTAATGACTTACAAACAGACGCGCTGTGATGTATAAAATGTTTCTTGTATCTTGAAGAGGAACTCAAATGCAACATTTTTACACATGTTTTCAGTTCCTTTGATTGACTTGAGTCTCCTTCACGACTCTTGTGTCTATGAAGGAACACTCAGTGCAGAGTAATAAGAGCAGTGCACTTCAGAGAAAAGCCTGTGTCTACAGCTGATGTCTGTGTGTGTGTGTGTGTGTGTGTGTGTGAGTCTGTGAGAGAGTGTGTGTGTGTGTGTGTGTGTGTGTGTGTGTTTGTGTGTGTGTCTACAGCTGATGTCTGTGTGTGTGTGTCTGTGAGAGAGAGTGTGTGTGTGAGTGTCATGTCTGTGTTTATGTCAGTGTGTGGTTTCAGTGATGAGGCCTGCAATCTCTGTGTGTTGCTAATAGGCGAGGAAAGCCTTGCTTCCGATCTGACTGTCATCAATGGGCATTTAAGAGCCATGACTATGGCTCCACATTATTACTTAACTAATTACCCTCGTCATTTGAGGTAGGCCAATGATGAGCTCCCTTCCCTCGTTAATGAAACTACGAAGGCACATGGCTAATGACCTGAGAGCACAGAGCAGCTGCGTCATCACGCCTGCACAGGGGGAAAAAGATGAGGAGAGGATGAGAGGAGGAAAGGACAGAAGGGACAACTTTTGATGAGTGGATGTCTGCACTTTTGGACCAAATCTGGACATCAACTAAAAACCTCACAACAAAATGCAGCATTCTTTGTGTGTGCTATTAAGGCATCAATAACTTCTAAGATGTGGCAGTCCTCTAAAAATGTTTTTAATAAAATAATAAAATAATTTAAATATCATTTTAATAAAAATAAAGTGTGTGTGTGTGTGTGTGTGAGAGAGAGTGTGTGTGTGAGTGTCTACAGCTGATGTCTGTGTGTGTGTGTGTGAGAGTCTGTGAGAGAGTGTGTGTGTGTGAGTGTCTACAGCTGATGTCTGTGTGTGTGTGTGT